ATATATGCAAAAACGCATAAAAAATGATCTGCGTTAGGCCAAAGCACAGCGCAATTCACCGTTTCTTAGGCCAGCAGAACGCTTCCTTAACTCAGCTGAGCTGGACTACGGTGGAAATTACGAGTGTATATCAAACTGAGCATTTAAAGTTATAAATTTGACACTGACTAAGCAACAACTTATCCAAATTTCGCAGGTCATTTAGTTTCCGGTGCCACTTGGCACGCTTCCTATTTGTTTTATCGTCTTTTCTTTTTTCTCAAGATCTAGACAATTCTGGAGCTTCTGACCGCAACAGCGTTGGCGTGGGAATGCGATTAAGTAGCCTAAAAGCGCCCTCTTAAAAAATGAAGCACTTTGCATGTGTAGTTTTACTACTGTGTGTTTCTTTTATTTTGTGGTACTGCATAAATTAAATAAAGTACTTTGATAAATTCAACTTTATTAGAAATAATAAGCAGGGCAGTAGCCACAGGTCCGCGGACAAAAGCGCCACATCCAGTTACTTCGCCAGCCTTTTACATAACACAAATGTCGCTTAGCACCACATTCACTACTCTTGTCCATGCATTCCCGTGGAATATCCTCGATGCTATCGAAATAATCGCAGTAGCCACATGAGTGAGCGCATTCCTCACTCATCACCTCTTGGAATTCCAGGTTGTCGCACACGTGTTTACGACGAGCGCAGTCGCTTGCGCGGTCGAAACACGTTAATGGTTCGAAATCAGTATCATCTACGTAAACCCTGCAAATACTGTAATAATTGGCCAACGCACGGGCTGCTCGTTCTTTGCACAGCTCCCCGCAAATTTTTGTCGCTAACGGCAGTGGTTTTTCCGGCAGATGCTTCCAACTAAAAGAATTTCAGACTGGCCGCCAGGACTGTCAGGCAACATTCCTTAAAAATTCCAGTTTTCTGGCTTCTCAGGCTCTCGAGTTAGCAACTTGCCCGAAAAAAGCTTTACGGGCCCGTACGCGGGTACCACGCTTACCCGGGGGCTGGGTTTGAGCACATTAATACCCACTTGGAGGGGGAACATCATCTTAAGATTTCAGCTTTCTAGCTTCTCAGATCCCCAAGTTATCAATTTACCCGAAAAAAATTTTCACGGGCCTCTATGTGGGTACCACGCATACCCGGGGACTGGGTTTGAGCTTACTAACACATACTTGGATGGGAAGCATCCCCTTGAAATTTCAGCCTTCCAGCTTCTCTGGTTTCCGAATTAGCAGCTTGCCCGTAAAAAACTTTGGCGGGTCCATACGTGGGTGCCACGCGGGTAACAGTGCCCATTTTGGGAATGGGGGGCCGTGCATGCATGTAGATTAAGTTCCTCATGTTTCAGCCATGTAGTTTTTGTGGGTCTTGAGATGAAAAATCAGTACAGACGAACACACAGACAGACACACACAGACAACCCCTCGTCAATGTAAGCAACCCTCAGAAGTAAAAATCGTCAACAGTCTTGCCAGCCAGCAGGCCGTTGCTGTTGTTTAGCATTTGCCACCACTCGGATCACTTTACGAAAGCCACCGCCTCCCAATGAGAGCGAAATACGGAGGGGATTTTGATTTTTTGCCTTGATGTACATATATTATCTTTGGCTTGACATATATCAAGTTAAAACCGGTGACATTTTGAAAAAACAATTTCTTAGCAATCGAAATGTATTTAAAATCAATTCGAAATCTGTAAAGTCATTACAAAGAATGGCTGTCAGTAGCATTTGCGAAACATTATCCTTTTGTCCGTTCTCATCGCTCCATCACCTATTATATAGTGATAGTCTGATGGGATTCTGAAAATGCTTGCCCGCTGAGCATTTTACCTGACGTGTTACTAGTCCAGGTAACCCAACAATGAAAGCAACCTGCAGAAAGAGCACGACATGCGGCATTTGGATCGCATAACGGCTTGGTGCCAGCTGGATGCGAGGCAATAAGGGACAAGGTCGGCACAGTTTACTGCCACATCTGCACAATATCCGGTACAATAGCCACACGTACGTCTGCATGACTGATACATTTGCGCTGCCGTCGTCTCCAAATAACAGTCATTTTCCTGAAATTCAGAATACTGCAAGTGGAAATCACGATTTTCTAACCAAACCGCTCTCTTAACCGCCGCATCGGAAACAAAATTTTCAAATCCGGAAACTAGATGAAAAGGCTGAGTTCATGGCCAACGTTAATGCACAAATTGCTAAAACTCAAGAATTTGCTGTTTCCAAAAATTTTTCGAGACAACGCTTGATTCATATATTTGAATTTTCAACAATCTTTTTTGAAATGAGGCTTTTAGGCACGTGAAGGTGCTGCCGAATTTACTGCTTACTTTAAGAGTACAGTTGCCATCTTTGTCAGCACAGACTTCG